TTTGCTTATCTCAGTTTATATCGTAAACATGAAAGAATTCACACTGGAGAGAAACCATATAAATGTAAAGAATGTGGTAAAGCTTTTCGTAGGTCCAGTTCTGTTCGAGTCCATGAAATAACTCACACAGGAGAGAAGCCATATGAGTGTAAGGAGTGTGGGAAAGGATTCATTTATTTCAGTTCCTTTCAAGTACATGAAAGGACGCACACTGGAGAAAAACCCTATGAATGTGAGCAATGTGGGAAAGCATTTGCTCAGCGGAAGAGCATTCGATGGCACATGAGAATGCACACTGGAGACAGACCTCACGAATGTAAGATATGTGGGAAAGCCTTTTATTCTCCTGGTTCACTTCAGAGACATGAAAGAAGTCACACTGGAGAGAAGCCCCATGAATGTAAGCAATGCGGTAAAACTTTCAGTTCTTCCACTTCCTTGCGATATCACGGAAGGATTCACACTGGAGAGAAACCCTACGAATGTAAGCACTGTGGGAAAGCCTTCAGGTGTATCAAGACCATTCGAATACACGAAAGGATTCGCACTGGAGAGAAGCCTTATGAATGTACACAGTGTGGGAAGTTATTCCATTGTGTCTGCTCCTTTCGTAGACATGAAAGGACTCACACTGGAGAGAAACCGTATGAATGTAAGGAATGTGGGAAAGCCTTCATTCGTTCCAGTACCTGTCGAAAACATGAAAGAGCTCATGCTGTTAATACGTGAGAGAAATCCTATTAATGTAAGGAATTGAGAAAGCATTCAATTGTCCCAGTTTCTTCAAACAGTGGAGAAAGAGCCCATGAGATAATTGATTTTTGAGTGGGGAAGAGAGACCTCTGATACTACAATAAAACCTACAATTGGAGTTGGGTGATTCCATGACATGGTCATAAATAGACTTTATATGAGATTTCAGAGGCAGACACGAGGAAGGCATTAGTTACATTTTAGAGGCACCATACAGGGAGACAGTCAATTCATATGGGCCATGCGAACACCTGTTACCAGCTCTTTTTCCTAGTTACTTGGCTTGCTTGCTAATCAAAGGTATCCTCTAAATCACCTGCTTTCACTTTCCCAGTGGTGCAGGTTTCCAAAGATGCCCCCAGAAGCTGCACAGTGAAGATCCATCCACCATTACATTTTCCTTAAGGATGCTCAACTCACCTAGTCTATATACTGAATTGGCACAAAGTGTAATTTCTGTTGCAGGCACCTTTGTTTCTACAGGTAGTGACACTTTCTGATTCAGCATGACAGCTACAGCACTGCCATCGAAACCAACTAAATGGGAGCTTCTCTTCTGCTGCTGCATTATGCAGTGACTGGTCTTACCCAGAACTTTCCTTCCTCTTATCTGGAAATTTCAAGTGTTTCCTGTTATTTTTAGCAGAATGTAATGCCTCAGTTCATTTTGAAGTATGTTTGATTTTCTGTAAGTAAAAACAATGTGTATTTTTTTGGCCACTAAGATTTCTGTACGTTTCTGAAAAATAGTTTCTTAACTGTTTTTTTTTTTTGAGACAGAGTCTCACTGTGTTGCCTGGGCTAGAGTGCCGTGGAGTCATCTTAGCTCACAGCAACCTCAAACTCCTGGGCTCAAGC